TCCTCTCCTCCGCAGCGCGTCCCCCTGCCGTCCCCTCTTGCGTCTTCTCTGCCTACCGTTCCTGAGCCTGAGTCTGACCGCGCCCATGCTGCTCACCCTACTGTCACGTGTCTGCTAGCCACAGTTGTCACTGACCAGTCGTTTGAGCCTGCTGCTGCGTCTGCCTTTGCTGCTGAGCTTGTTGACTTTGTTGTTGCCTGTCGTCTAGACTACGCCGCTAGTCTAGTTGCTGAGTCTGAGTCTGTCTGTCCTCCGTCCGTCGGGGGTGAGTGTGCTCTTGGCACGGACGTCCTTGACGACAGGCAGGAGGACCTTGAGTGTCTTGCAGCCGCTGCGCCTCACCTCGTGTCCATGCTGCTTGCCCCTGAGGGAGACCCGGATGCTCCAGACATCCCGACCCCGCTCTCTTACGCTGAGGCAATCGCGGGTGAGTACTCCTCTCAGTGATAGACAACCATGGACGCAGAGATGGCATCCTGGAAGTCCACAGGCACCTACGTCGACGAGGTTCCCCCTCCTGGGGCGAACATCGTCAGTGGCATGTGGATTGTTAGGGTGAAGCGGCCGCCAGGTTCTCCGCCTGTCTTCAAAGCTCGTTACATTCCTCGAGGTTTCAGTCAGCGAGAGGGAGTTGACTTCTTTCAAACTTTCTCCCACACCTCGAAGATGACCACTCTTCGGGTGCTGCTGCACGTCGCCGCTCAGCGTGACTACGAGCTTCACTCTCTTGACTTCAGCACAGCTTTCTTATAGAGCAGCCTGCACGAGGAGATCTTGCTACGCCGCCCTCTTGGCTTCACTAGGTCGTTCCCTCCTGGTACCAAGTGGAGCCTCCGGCGGCGAGTCTACGGTCTCCGCCAGGCACCACGTGAGTGGGACGACACACTGAGGACTACACTTGCGGCTCTTGGGTTTGCTCCGTCGACTGCTGACCCGTCGCTGTTTCTGCGCACCGACACGTCGCTGCCGCCGTTCTACATCCTCCTCTACATCGACGACTTGGTCTTTGCCACTGCAGACACTGAGGCTCTCGCCCTGGTGAAGTCGGAGCTGCAGAAGAGACACACGTGCACAGACCTGGGTGAACTGTACAGCTATCTTGGCTTGCAGATCACCCGGGACAGAGCACGCCGCACCATCACACTTACTCAGTCACACATGGTGCAGCAGGTCCTTCAGCGCTTCGGCTTCACCTGGTCCTCAACACAGGACACTCCTCTGGCTACAGGCCACACGCTCTCAGCTCCACCTTCGGACGAGTCCGTAGAGCCGAGTGGCCCGTACCCAAATCTAGTGGGCTGCCTCATGTACCTGATGACCTGCACTCGACCTGACCTTGCTTACCCTCTTGGCCTTCTGGCTCGCTACGTGGCTTCTGGTAGGCACAGACCAGAGCACATGGTTGCTGTTAAGAGGGTAATGCGCTAGTTGTGTAGTACATCGGGCATGGGGCTTGTGCTTGGAGGGCGGAGCCCAGATGTCCTCAGTGGGCACTCGGACGCTTCTTGGGTTGACGACCTGGCTACGCAGCGGTCGTCACAGGGTTACAACTCCAACCTTGGCTCTGGTTCAGTTTCTTGGCGTTCTACATGCTCGTCTTCTGTTCTCAGCTCCAGTTGTGAGGCTGAGATCTACGCCACTGCCATGGCCGCACAGGACTTATGCTGGCTCACCTACCTGCTGACCGACTTGGGAGAGCGGCCTCGTTCTCCTCCAGTGCTATACGTTGACAACAAGGCTGCCATTGCCTTGTGTCAGGAGCACAGACTGGAGCACAGAACGAAGCACATCGCTCTGCGTTACTTCCTGGCTCGAGAGTTGCAACAGCGTGGTCAGCTTCGTCTCGCTCACGTGGCCACTCGAGCCAACTTTGCTGATATATTCACCAAGGCACTTTCGTCTGGTGATCATCAGCGTTTCTGCACTTTGTTAGGCCTTGTGCCCACATTTCCTCACTTGCTGTAGACTTTTCTTGCACTGTGATCTATATATATATATACCTGCATGCATGCTCTGCTAGGTAGAGATCACTATGCTGTTATTGTTGTATATATACCTCTGCATGTGAACTGGCCTTATGGCCCTCTGTTTGTGCTCAGTGTGTGTGGTGACGTTGTGATCCACCCTGAGCTTGTTTTGCTTTTTTTGACTGGTCTTGTGACCCCTTGTTCTACCCCACTTTGCCTATGGGGGTGTGTCAAACGTTATATCTACCATACATGTTTAGGCTGTCGTGGGGTTGCCAATATAGGGTACAGCCCACTTTAGGGTTTCATATTTGTACCCAACTCTTCCATAGTTCAATCATTCCTGCTGCTAGATTTTAACAAGGATAGCATCATTCTGAAAAATGTGCACTCGTAATCGAGGGGAAATTTTTTCCCCGTAATCAGGGGGGCCTAATATGAATGGTCAGCCCTGGATCGACATCCATTCCCCACATGGAAGGCGCCAAATGGAGCAAGATGACACGGGCTTGAGTCCGTTATAGCGACACGCCGCCACCCCAACGAGCATCCTCCCAACAGCCCCCTGTAAAATAAGTAAAAAACGCTGTGTCATCCTCCCAACAGCCCCCTTGTGACACACCTAGCCCTAATTGCACGTCCCCTTCTGTCGTAACCAATATAAAAACGACCTTTTAAACTCTCCTACCTCTCTACTGTCAGAGAGGTGAACTGCACGCATCGATTGCGCGCCAATTGGTGTGTAAGTATCCGTATTCTGACGTTTCCACTCTGATGGAATAGCCGCATTACCTAAGTAGAGATGGAGAAAGCAATAGCTAATCCGCGACACTCATCTCTAGAGCGCGATTCTCTCCATTGGTCATCGCACCGTAACATCAACCCGCTTCTCTGACCGCACTACACTATCCTCCATCATAGCCTTAGAGATCCTCGTCACCGCAAGCTTCATCCCGTCGTAACTCGAGTTGGACCATCCAGGTGCTTGCATCTCAAAACATGATGCGGGTTCGCTGGGTCAACATACACCGTTGACTACACGATGGTAGAGGTTGTTAGTGTCTGAAGCTGCTCCTGAACTTAAAACATCACTGTTGTCACTAGAAGAGACAGCTACAGCGAAGGTGAACCGATTCTGATGCCAGCTGTCTCCTAAGCCAAGCCTGACTTGCGTCCTGGAGGCCTGCAGATCAATTGTGCAACTGTGTATCCAGTGCTCAATGCTCATCAATGGATTGTTGGCATTGCCGCTCTTGTTTTTGTAATATCTAAAAAACCAGCTCGTGCACGGTGATTCCAGTGCTCAATGCTCATCATGTGATTGCTGGCCTTGCCTCTCTTGCCGATTGGCCTGCTCCGCTTGTTCTGCCTGCTCTTTCAGTTCCTAATCCTCATCATCAGACGAGAGGACCACAATCTCTGCCTCTCGCTGCTGCTGCCGCTGTAGCTGCTGCTGCTGCCACTGATGGCCTTGTTGCAGGGTTGAGCGCTCCTTACCCCGAGATTCCAGGCCCGGCCAGCTCTTCTTCAGAGGGTCTTCCGCACCCTCCGTGCTCCTCTTCCTCTTCCGCAACAACAACCCCTCTGCCTGCTCCTGCTGCTCTTGCTGCTGCTGCTGCTGCTGCTCCTCACCTAGCGTGTGCTCCATTGCATGAGGGTTACTCCAAACCTCTACCCTTGCTCCTGAAACAGCCGCTCCTGTTTTCCTCCTTGCTGCCCCTTTCCCTGCTGCAGCGGCAGCCCCTGAAGCTGCTGCTAGTGCTGCTGGTGCTGCTGCTACTGTTCGTGTTGCTATTGCTGCAGCAACCACTGTGACGGGCACAGTGGATTGAAGAGGAGGAACTCTGGCAGGAAAGGCAGCACGAACCGCAGGTGCTCTGGGTGGGATGGACGGGGCTGGGGAGGGAGGTTGCTGTGAGGCTGTGGAGGAAAACGCAGCCCTAATAGCAGCACGAGAGGGAGGGCTATGAAGAAAAGCTGAGACAGAGGCAGAGGTAGAGGCAGAGGCAGAGGCAGAGGCAGAGGCAGAAGCAGCAGGAGCAGAGGGAGGGGGAAGTGCAGAGGGGGACCCACGAGCAGAGAAGGAGCAGGAGGACTCTGCTGGTGAACGGCATGATTTCTTCGAGGTAAAAGATGTTGGAGACGGGTGTAATGGTGCTCTCCTGGCAGCAGCGTTAGATCCAGGTACAGCTTTCAATGCGGATACAGAGAGAGATGCAGAGGGCGTGGAGAGAGGAGGAAGGGGAGCACGAGGAGCAGCAGCAACGAAAGAAGGGCGAGGAGCAGTATCTGTTGAAGCGGGTTTGGAATGATTGCAGAATAAAAGGGGGGCAGGAGACGAGGTTAAAGCAGGAGCAGCAGGAGCAGTGGAAGCAGAAGGAGCAGCGGCAGCAGCAGCAGCAGCAGTAGCAACAGCAGTAGCAGCAGCCTTCACTGCAGCAGTAGCAGGGGCAGTGGCAGGAGCAGCAGCAACCCCAAAAGCTCCCCCTTCCCCCCCAGCACGAGTCCTGCCAGCCCCAACAGTTGCCTCATCTGCACCTGCCTTCTGCTGCCCACTTGTACACCTTTTAAGCTCCTTCAGTAGCTGCACTATATCCTCCATCTCTTCCACAGTGTACCTCACAAACAGCACCGGGTTTAACTCACATCCTGAGCTTCCTGCCTCATTGCACGCCGAACCCCACGCAGGACACTCTTGCACCGGCTGCCTCCCATGGTCTACGTGTGCGGTTCCAGGTGTTTTGAGGCGGTTTAAAGGAGGTCTGGCTGTGTTGTGCGGACATTCCTGCACCAACTGCCGTGCATGCTCCATACAAGCCACTCGAGGGGCACCGGCACCGGTCACTGCAGCACTACTAGCACCTGCAGCTGCAGCTCTAGTAGCACCTGCAACTGCAGCACTGCCAGCACCAGCAACTGCAGCCCTGTCAGCACCTGCTGCGCACCCCAAAGCAGTCAACCCTTCCAGCGCACCTGCTTCATCTGCTTCTGCTGTAGCTGCTGCTGTTGGTGGTGGTGCTCTTAGTGCTGCTTCTAGGACGGACCCGCCTGCTGCTGCACTGGTGGTGCCAGGTTGCCTGGGGAAGCATGCATGGCAGCACGAGGCAAAGGAGAGGTAGAGGTCGTAGGAGCAGTAGCAGCACTGCAGGAAATCCAAATCAGGTATGGATTGCGCTGCTTGTGCTGCTTGTGCGGCTTGTGCGGCTTGGGGTCGCTCCGTTGCCTGAGATGAAGGGCATGAGGAGCGTTGTGGAGCCGAGGGTGGGGCTGTGCCCGAGGGCGGAGGGAATGTGTTGACGCGTGAGATGCGGAAAGTAGGTGCTTGAGCTGATTGCGACGGCTGCGACGGTGGCGACAGCGTGGCAGGTAGGAGAAGAGCTTGTTGCCGGCTCTTCTCAAGAGACACACGCTCCTGTTGATGGGTGGCAATCACAAGAGGGTTGGGTTGGCAGATGGAATGGAAGGTCACAGTGGTGAGTGGTGAGACGTTATTTGAGGCGTATCAAAAAGCGGCAACAGAGTGGCGAGTAGGAGAAGAGCTTGTTGCCGGCTCTTCTCTAAGAGACACGCGCTCCTGTTGATGGGTGGCAATCACATGGAAATAGCAGACGGAGTTACAAGTCAGGATGAGTTTTGAGAATGCGCGCGTTTGTGTGCCTGTGTGCATGGGTGGGAATTTGTGTGTGAGCATGTGTGTGTGTGTGTGTGTGTGTGTGTGTGTGTGGGTGCGTGGGTGTGTCTGTGTGAGTGTGTGTGTCGAACTGGGGAAAGGGGAGTGTATTTCGTGCACCATTTTGATCTCACCTCCAAAGCAACACATATTGTCTCCGCATTCTCACACCACACTGCCCCCTCAGCAGCAGCAGCAGCAGCAGCAGTATCAGCATCAGCACCAGCAGCATCAGCACCAGCAACAGCAGCAGCAGCAGCTTCAAGGACAGTAGCAGCAGCGCGCAGCAGCAGTTTGTCATGGGAGAGAGTGGCGCTACGCTTAATGGAACGATAACCCTCCACTGCCCGCAGCCCGTGCTGCAGCCAATCAGGTGGTGCCATGTTGACAGCCTCGGCACAGTTGAACCCGACGTTGAAACCTGGATTCGGGGAGTAGGGTTGGGGTGGGAGAAATGGATTCGGAACGTTTGGTTGGGGCAACGTTGGAGTGGGAGGGAGTGGGAATCGGTGGAGAAGGACGGCTGGTGAAAACGAGCTGTATTAGGGTTTGCATCTGAGATGTTTCAAGATGCAAAAAAACGGAACACAAAGCAGACAGGGCAGGTTGCTACAAAACAGCACGCAAACAGCCGACAACCACACCACACCACACCACACCACACTACCTTCCTGCCTCGGGGTCACTCTCCTATCAGACAACCCCAGAAAAATCCCGACTCTGGAACAACCAGACCCTAGCTTCAGCCTGCCAATCATGTCTACATGGCGCAGTCATAATGTAGACAGACAGACAGACAGACAGACAGACAGACAGACAGACAGACAGACAGACAGACAGACAGACAGACAGACAGACAGACAGACAGACAGACAGACAGGGCGGCGACAGCAACAACACCTCCTGTAGCATCTGATCTGACCTGAGTGGTAGGCTCGCGGGAAGGTGACCACAAACTCGTTGGGACGCTGCACGAGACGCACTGAGCTGCGTGGTATGTACGAGTGACAGTGACGCTCACTGGCAGCTGATCTGATCTGACCTGAGTGGTAGGCTCGCGGAAAGGTGACCACAAACTCGTTGGGGCGCTGCACGAGGCGCACCACAGGAATGCCCTCCTGCTGCAACACAGCCGGGGACAGCTGCGTCACCTGGGGGGCGCAGGAAACGGAGAGGGGAGGAGGTGGGGGGCGCATGACGTGTTTATGAGTTGTAGGTAACTCATATTTTTTCGTAATGTGCCGTTTGCCATGATTTGTTTATGTGATGTATTTCAAGGCTCTGGCAATCTCATATGTCACACCCATTTGCCCGCTCAACTCTCCACCCATCTGCCACACCCATCTGCCTGCCAATCTGCCCATGCATCTGCCCGTTCATCTGCTTGTTCAACTGCCCGTTCATCTGCCCGTCCATCTGCACTCACAAGGCTTTGCAGCAGGTCATCTATGCCACGGAAGGCCTCGGGCAGGCGCTTGCGCATCACCGCTTCAAACCGCTCTGCATGCCTGCTGGCCACTCCGTACCACACCTTGGGACGCCCCCAGTGCAAGTAGTTGAGTGAGTTGAGATGATGATCCTCCACATGCTGCCACGTGCATGGGATGGATGGTTGGGATTGACGGTTGGGGACGCATGGGATGGACGGTTGGGATGGACGGTTGGGGACGCATGGGATGGACGGTTGGGGACGGATGGGATGGACAGTTGGGATGTTGAGAGATACGGGTAAAGAGCACATAAAGCTAGCACATGTTACTGGCAAGGAAGGGAGAGACAACACACAGTGAAAGAAACAGCGACGGACGAGCATAGAGAGAAGGGAGGGGGAAAGGAGGGGAGGAGGAGAGGAGGGGAGGAGGAGAGGAAGGGAGGAGAGGTAAAGAGGAGGCGAGGAAGGGAGGAGGAGAAGGAAAGAGGAGGAGAGGAAAAGAGGAAAGGAGAGGGAGGGAGGAGGAGAGGAAAAGAGGAGAGGAAAAGAGGAGAGGAAAAGAGGAGGAGAGGAAAAGAGGAGAGGAAAAGAGGAGAGGAAAAGAGGAGGAGAGGAAAAGAGGAGAGGAGAGGGAGCGAGGAGGCACGCACCCAGCAGAAGGAGGAGAGGCACATGCCGAAGCAAACCTAAGGAGAGATGAACGTTGAGTTAATCAAACCAAAAGGATACTACACGAGAGATGACCCCTTTGCAACGCAAAAGGCACGCACGCACCCAGCAGAAGGAGGAGAGGCACATGCCGAAGTAGACCCAGGGCGCAGTGATGCCTGAGATAGGCTCCTCCTCAAATTGCAGCACTGATGGTGCCATGCGCGCCACACTCGACATGTCCCACCTCCCTCCCCCACCACCACTGCCGCTGCTGTTGCCGCCGCCGCCGCCGCCGCCGCCACGAGTGCCAGCAGAACCACCACCTCTACTACCACCAGCATTGCGATCAAAACCGTTGCCTCTACTGCAGCCAACGCCACCGCCACTAGTGCCACCAACACCACCATCTCTACTACTACCCGCATTGCCGTCAATGCCGCTGCCTCTGCCCCAGCCGCCGCCGCCCCAGCCGCCGCCGCCGGCACCACGGGCGCTGCTGCTGCCGATACTGCTGCTTCTGCTTGCGGCCATGCTGCTTGCAACGCTGCTGCTGCTACTGCTGCTGCTGCTGTTGTGACTCGGTTGACGCTGCATGGGCGTTGACAACACTGACGGTAATGGCGGTACTGTATTTCGCATAGACAGCATCACCGGTGGCAGCAAATGGTCTTCCATTGGTGCCGAATTTGCTGCAGGTGCTGCTGGGCTTGCTGCATCAAAGCCCCTTAGTTCGGCACCAGTCAAATCAGCATCATCAAGTGCTGCTACCGCTGCTAGTGCTGCCAGCCTTGACGGTGCTGCATCAGGATTTGCTGCTGCTTTTGCTTTCACGTGCGGTGTGGTGGGAGCAGGTTGTATGTTGTGCCTCTCCACGTCCGATGCATACAGCACCTGCACATGCAACATGCAACATGCACAGAGATCAGCGAAGACGGAAGGATCAATGAAAGCACAGTGATTAACACAACTCCTGCCACATTCACATCGCACTTCACTTCACTTCATCGCATCACATTACACCCCATCACGTCACATCACACTTCACTTTACTTCATCGCATCACATTACACCCCATCACGTCACATCACATCACACTGCACCGCACCGCACCGCACCACACCACACCACACCACATCACACCACGTCACACCACACCACGTCACAGCACGTCACATCACATTCCCCACCTCTCCCGTTTGCCCTCTAACCTCTATACGCTCGCTTGGTGCCTCCACAACCCTCCAAAACTCCCCCTCCACCTGCTCCCACGTCGGCACCCCTCCATTCCTCCCATCCCCACCCTCACCGACATTTCCATTTCCAGTCCCCGAACACGAAAATTCCCCTCCATTCCTCCTCCCACCACCCACCCCACCTCCCTCCGTCCCCTCCCCCGCTCCTTCAAAATAGCTCCTTTCAAACCTCTCTGCATAAGCCTGGAATTGCCTCAAGGTGTGCCTCTCTCCTGGTTCAAATCCAAACTCGCACTCTAAACCAACATGCACAGGAAGCGGCGGGCGGACGAACGGCCGTGTGGGGTACCGGGCCTCACCCACCCCCCTCCCCTCCCCACCCCGCCTCACCGCACTCAACCCTCCTGTGCTACCGCCCACCCCTCTGTGTGTCCGATGGCCCTTGCTGATCCAGTGGAGGGTTCTTTTAGGGGAGCCGATGCAAGAAAGGGCTTTAATCTTGGGGGATTTCTCGTGCCAGGTGTCATTGGGACCACCAGGGGCTGCAAGGGCGAGAATGATTGGAATGTTGTCCACTGAGGTGACTGGGGGGATATAGTGCTGCTGCCGCTGCCGCTGCCGGTACTGGTGCCGCTGCTGCTGCTGCTGCTGCTGCTGCTGCTGCTGCTGCTGCTGCTGCTGCTGCTGCTGCTGCTGCTGCTGCTGCTGCTGCTGCTGCTGCTGCTGCTGCTGCTGCTGCTGCTGCTGCTGCTGCTGCTGCTGCTGCTGCTGCTGCTGCTGCTGCTGCTGCTGCTGCTGCTGCTGCTGCTGCTGCTGCTGCTGCTGCTGCTGCTGCTGCTGCTGCTGCTGCTGCTGCTGCTGCTGCTGCTGCTGCTGCTGCTGCTGCTGCTGCTGCTGCTGCTGCTGCTGCTGCTGCTGCTGCTGCTGCTGCTGCTGCTGCTGCTGCTGCTGCTGCTGCTGCTGCTGCTGCTGCTGCTGCTGCTGCTGCTGCTGCTGCTGCTGCTGCTGCTGCTGCTGCTGCTGCTGCTGCTGCTGCTGCTGCTGCTGCTGCTGCTGCTGCTGCTGCTGCTGCTGCTGCTGCTGCTGCTGCTGCTGCTGCTGCTGCTGCTGCTGCTGCTGCTGCTGCTGCTGCTGCTGCTGCTGCTGCTGCTGCTGCTGCTGCTGCTGCTGCTGCTGCTGCTGCTGCTGCTGCTGCTGCTGCTGCTGCTGCTGCTGCTGCTGCTGCTGCTGCTGCTGCTGCTGCTTCTGCTGCTGCTGCTGCTGCTGCTGCTGCTGCTGCTGCTGCTGCTGCTGCTGCTGCTGCTGCTGCTGCTGCTGCTGCTGCTGCTGCTGCTGCTGCTGCTGCTGCTGCTGCTGCTGCTGCTGCTGCTGCTGCTGCTGCTGCTGCTGCTGCTGCTGCTGCTGCTGCTGCTGCTGCTGCTGCTGCTGCTGCTGCTGCTGCTGCTGCTGCTGCTGCTGCTGCTGCTGCTGCTGCTGCTGCTGCTGCTGCTGCTGCTGCTGCTGCTGCTGCTGCTGCTGCTGCTGCTGCTGCTGCTGCTGCTGCTGCTGCTGCTGCTGCTGCTGCTGCTGCTGCTGCTGCTGCTGCTGCTGCTGCTGCTGCTGCTGCTGCTGCTGCTGCTGCTGCTGCTGCTGCTGCTGCTGCTGCTGCTGCTGCTGCTGCTGCTGCTGCTGCTGCTGCTGCTGCTGCTGCTGCTGCTGCTGCTGCTGCTGCTGCTGCTGCTGCTGCTGCTGCTGCTGCTGCTGCTGCTGCTGCTGCTGCTGCTGCTGCTGCTGCTGCTGCTGCTGCTGCTGCTGCTGCTGCTGCTGCTGCTGCTGCTGCTGCTGCTGCTGCTGCTGCTGCTGCTGCTGCTGCTGCTGCTGCTGCTGCTGCTGCTGCTGCTGCTGCTGCTGCTGCTGCTGCTGCTGCTGCTGCTGCTGCTGCTGCTGCTGCTGCTGCTGCTCTGCTGCTGCTGCTGCTGCTGCTGCTGCTGCTGCTGCTGCTGCTGCTGCTGCTGCTGCTGCTGCTGCTGCTGCTGCTGCTGCTGCTGCTGCTGCTGCTGCTGCTGCTGCTGCTGCTGCTGCTGCTGCTGCTGCTGCTGCTGCTGCTGCTGCTGCTGCTGCAGGTGCTGCTGCTGCTGCTGCTGGTGCGGCTGTTGCTGCAGGTGTGCTGGTTCTGGGTGCTGCTGCTGCTGCATCTGCTGGTGGGGGTGCTCCTGATAACCCCGGCTGTTTCCAGCAGCTGCCGTCCAGGGCTTGCGGACCTGGTGTGCATGGAGAGATGAGGGAGTGAGGAGGAGAGGAGAGAGTTAGAGAGATCAGTGCCGGGAAAGATTGAAGCGAGGCGATTAAGCAAAAAAGAAGGCTGCTGAGAAGAACGACAGCAGCAGGAGGCGTCTCAGAAAATCATCTGAAACCACTCTCTCACTCACCTGCAGGCGGCTGACTTCTTGCACGCGTGTGGGGTAGCGGCAGCGTAGGGAGCGCAGGTGCTCCTGGGAGAGAGAGGCGCCCGCAGGGAGCGTCCAGGAGGCGGGCGGCACGATGCGGCATATCCCGTGCTCCTCTGCTAACCGCTGGATTGACTGGATGTAGCACACTGGATTGGCGAACTCCTGGTGGGAAAGACGCGGATGGTTTTAAGCTTCGGGTTTTAGTATTGTGACGGACGCACATGCGCACGCGCACGCACACGCATACGCACACACACACACACACACACACACACACACACACACACACACACACACACACACACACACAGATGGACACACACATAACGGCAATGACAAGGAGGGCAACGACAACAACAGCTAACAGCAGCAACGCACCTCGGCAGTGGGGTAGAACGTGGGTGCCTCTCCCACGGAGGGCCGTCGTGACTCATCCGGCTTCCAGCGTGCCGACACGTGGCAGCATCGGTAGCACCCGCGGTAACGGCACCCCTCACACCCCTGCATCACTCCCCAGGGGAGACCAGTGTCCTGCGCTCGCATCTGCAGACACAACGGGCCACAGCGGAGGAGAGGTAGGTGAATCAATAGACCGAGGGAAATGGATGACCTTTAAGCAACTCAAAAGGAAGCCTTCACACCCTTGCATCACACTCCCCAGGGAAGGCCAGTGCCTTGTGCTCGCATCTGCGGCCGTAGAGCAGGGGAGGGAGTAGAGTAGATGGACCGAGGGAAATGGAAAGCTGGCAACTTCACAAACCTCCTGTGACTGCATCTGCGGCAATGTTTATAAACCAGATTTTTGGCTGCTTGTCTCTTGACCTACTCGAGCCTTCTTACACAGCCTTTCTTAGAAGAACAGAGCAGGAGGAAGAACGGAGGGAGAGGGACGTAAAAGAAACGAAACAAAACAAAAGCAACGCAAGACGATTTTGCTCGACGAAGCACACGCAACATGTAAGCACGACCTTGTTCACATGCAGGAAATTCGTAATTGTAATCGACTTACACTTTCATGTTGAGACGACTCATGAGAGCACCAGAATGACTCTATCTACCTTGTGTAGGGAGTTGTATTCCGCCTCGTCCTGCCACAAGTGGGCCACTGCAGCAGCGCCACCACCAGGTATGTTCCGAGCTGACCCAGAACTCCCCCCGGCACCGCCATAAGCACTGCCTTGTTGTCTTCTTCTTCCCTGGGGAGCCTTCGCATGGGTATCCCCATCCGCTGCTTCTCCTCCTGGTGGCCGTGTCATACGCTTTCTTCTCTTCCGTGGGCTTGTTGCCCCTGCTGCAGCCGCTGCCGCTCCTGCTGCTGCTGCTGCTGCTGCTGCTGCTGCTGCTGCTGCGCCCTCTGTCCCTGCTGCTGCAGGCGATGCCCTGACTCCGGTGAGGTTTTCCCTTTGACCTTGTGGAAACGGGTCCGCTTCTTTTTCATCCACAAACACCACGTCATCATCATCATCATCATCGGCAGCAGCATCCCCATCACCATCACCACCACCCGCAGCAGCATCACCATCATCATCACCATCAGAATCACCATTACCATCACCTACATCATCAGCAACATCAATGTAATCGTTCACACCATCAGCGTCCCCATCCGCATCAGCACGGCCATCATCATCACGAAAATCAACTTTCACATGACAATCATCATCATCATCATCGTTATCCTCTACCTCAAACGCCCCTTGCCCATCCTCCTTTTCATACCCATCCTCAGTCTTCACAACCCCTCCCTCCTCCTCCTCCCCCTCCGCCTCCTCCTTTTTAACACCCATATCTCCCTTTGCGCCTCCTCCCTCACTTAACTCCCTCCGTTTCGCCCCACCTTCATCATTCACCTTGGTAGTCACACCAACCACACCACCCATACCACACACGTCACGCGCACCACCCACACCAACCCCACTAGCAGAGCAGCCACCAGGCCCACTCTCCTTCTCGCTGCATCCTTCTTCTCGCTCCGTCTTCACCCTCGCCTGCAACTTTCGCTCCTCCCCCTCCCACCCTACTGAACCTTTGGTCTCAACATCCATAGCAGTATCTGGCTCTACCTTAGCTACTCGCTGCGTCCCTGACTCCCTATCCCTCTCCCTCTCCCTCTCCCTCTCCCTATCCCTCACCCTCTCCCTCTCCCTCTCCCTCTCCCTCTCCCTCTCCCTTTCCTCTCGTTCCTCTGCCTCCATCACTCTCTGTTGCTGATTATCTCCCATCGAGATTTCCTTTGGCTCATCCTTCGTGGCATCTTCCTTTGCGTCTTCCTCCGTTTCTTCCGCTGCTCCTTCCTCTGTACCTTCCTCTGCATCTTCCTCATCAGAGAATACCTCCCCTTCCTCAATTTCATCCTCTGCATTTTCTCTCTTTACTTCCTCCTTACCCTCCACACCCTCCACCATATTCGCACCACATCCACCAGATCCCCCGTTCTCCTTTCCGTCACACCCTTCCACTCTCGCTTCCCTCTCCTTTTCCCTCTCCTCCTTCCCATCATTCATCCCCATCGCCTCATCGCCTTCCCCACCATCGTCCTCCTCATCATCTTCAGCAGCATCCGATCCAGCTCTCATTGATCCCTCCTCATCTCCACTCTCCAACTCCATCTTCTCCTCCCTCTCCCTCTCCCTTTCCCTCTCCCTCTCTCTCGCTCTCTCCCGCTGTCTCTTCCATGCCTCTGGATAATATCTCTCTTCAGTCACTTTCAACCTCCCTTTGTATCGCACCCGGGCACCCCACCGATCCGCTCCCGCCGCCGCTTCTTGAAACCACGAGGCGGGGAGGCGCGCGGACGCGCCCTGCGGGGGGGCCGGCTGCGCGGAGAGATGCGCGGAAAAAACGGTTGCACGGTGGACGGCGATTGGAAAGTCCTCCTCATCGGAAGAGGAGGAGGAGAGTGACGGGTCCAACGGCGAAACGAGATGCGCGGGCGCGTTGGAGCCCGAGGGCAACGAACGCGCGGCGGAGAAATGGCGGCGCTGGGAAAAACGGAGAGATGATTCGCCGGGGGGTTGGCGACAATCTGTGGAGCGAAATAGGCGGTTCTTTTTCGAGTGGAGCTGGTTCGCCGAGGGAGAACGAGGGGCGTCGGGAGATAAAAGAGGCGCTTTTGGGGAAAATGGAGGGTTGTCGCGGGAAGAACGAGGCGTGGGCATATGCTTGAGATCAGACGGATCCATAGCGCGAGTCGGGGAGCGCCGAGAGCAGGAGGTGGTGCGGTGTTGTGTTCGAAACGATACGGAAGCGTACACAGGAAATGCAGCAACTTTAAAGCTTCGACGTGCTTGAAAAAAACCGCAATGAGGCAATGAGACGAAGACGAGATGATCAGTCAGAGGCTCTGTGCCTGGAAGGTCACACTATTGAGCGGACAAAGCAATCCACGCGTTCCAATGCCCTTGTGATGATAATCCTCCGAGGGTAATGAATGCAGGATAATTGCCTGGCTTGTTGGGATCAAGAGGTGAGTTGGGACAAGTGACTGACTACAAGACAAGCAGGGAAGAGAGTACTAGAAGAGAACAGGGAGAGGGGGGAGATGGGATGGGACGGGACGATGGAGGAGACAAGGAGACAAGAAGGGGAGCGGGAATGAACAGGCTGTTGTGGGAGAAGGGAAGGGAAGATGTTCGGACAACTCGAAATGCAATCTCATTTTCCCAGTGCGGGTTTGCAAATGCAATCTTTTCGGGCAGAACCACGCGGCTGCCCGTGTTTAGGGTTGGGGCTCCCCGATTATATACACACGGGTGACGTCATCACATGCCGCCCCGCCCGCCCTGGCACATTCGAAATTCGGGCCAAACCGAAAAACCCGCGGAATCCCTCCAGGCCCCCGAAATTCCCCGGCTGACCAGGCAAAAAAAACCTGCCGAAACCCGCGGGTTCAATGTCGTATTCTTATGCCAATATATATGTCGGCCGTACTGTTGCAATTTCGGGGACATTTGTCGAACAATGCTCGACGGACATCGGCCAATCGCCGTCGAGCACCGTGCACCCCCGACGACACTGGTTACACCCCGTGGCAAGTCGCCAGGGAATCGCCTACACGGTGGCGCCGACGGTCGACGGTCGCGAAACGTGTTTCGCAACCGGCCGACGGTCGAGCAAACTGTCGCTGTCGGATGGGCGACGGGTCACGTCAGTCGCAGTCAAGCGGTCACGTCAACTGCTGACTGCTGTCTCAGTCTCCACGGGGAGCAACATCAGCCCAATGTCGCTGTATAGACCTGAATTCATAGTACAAGCACCACTATTTCCTCAGCACGCCAGGATTTAGGGAGAATTGGTAGCTTTCGGTGGGCACTGATGGAGACCGATCCGTCGACGACAGCGCCTTCCCGGGAGGCGGACGTAGGACGTATACCTGTCGAATTGGAGTCCACATCGACACGACCCCCTTCGTCGTCTAGAGACAGGCCCCCTTCGACGACGCGTGCCATACCGGAGGTGGCAGCGCCCACCTCGACGTCGCGAGCCATACCGGTAGTAATACAGCCGGTCGTTACGGACCCACGTTCGACGGGTATTCCGGTCACTGTTGAAGTGGGTGGTGCACAGACCGAATTCCCTTCGACAGGTCAATCCATACCTGTTGTCGTAGAACCCATCTCGACAACAAATGCCCCCTTTACACACGAGGCTCCAGCTCACCGTGCACCATCGTCGACAGCCCACCGCTCGACGGAACCTTCGGCTGGTGCACCGACCTCGACAGTTGGGCGACGTAGGAGAGCGACGGCTGTTCCGCCTGAGGTTCGCCAACCACACCCAGCCGGTACATCCGCTTCTCGAGCCGACCCCGCCGCTCGTAGGCGCACTTCGACGAGACCAAGCAGAGAGGACTTGGCCAGGAACGTCCCTGAAGCGACGGACGATGAGGATGTTCGGACGGGAGAACAGCAGGAGGCGGACGATGTCGAACCGCCGGACCCTCTGCGGCCTGCTGCGGCAAATATATCAGAGGAGGATGCCGCGCACATTCTCGGCGACCAACCGGGCGCAAACAATCCGTACTTGGCGACCGGAACACTTAAAAGCAGGATTCTCCGGTGTGAGGTTCCGCTGCTGGGAGTTGACCAGGATTCCACACGGCCGAACTATGTCTCTGGAAGCATGCACTACAAAGCTTGGGCCTGTAAAATTCTGGCACCCGAGAGAAGCAACGGAGTGCCTAAAGAGGAGCAGGTGATCTACGAGGACGAGATCGGTAGGGAGATCGGCGACGATATGGGGCCGAGATGGAGGGAGGCGCTGCGTAACGAGGAGCACCTGCATGGGCCGAAAATAACGAAATGGCGCTTGCGCGCGTACGTCGAATACATGTCGACTGAAACCGACCAACAGGCGGCATCGTTGGACACAGGCCGGTCCAGAGTCGCTGGAAGGAAGGCAAAAAAAAGCACCCCTCCGATGATGCTGGCGCGCCTCACTGCGCTGACGTGCTTCTGCAGAGTAGAGGCCATACTCTTCGACGAGCCACTAACGAAGCCTTTGGACGACATCACCGAGGCCCGGCAGCTTCTTGCGGTCAAGCTGCGGCAGCTGCACGACTTTCAGTTCGAGTAAGTAGGCTCCCATGCACCGGACTCTAAAACTCACCGCTCAAATTCTCACCCAAGTACTCGCTGTATCTGCCCACCCAATGCAGGCAGTGCGTCGATCCACACCGGGGCTCGCTCGACGATGTTTACACGGAGGAGCAGTTCCGCATTCTCGTTTCAGACATCCTGCCGTACTGGGCCAAGGAGTACTTTCGGGAGTCGATGAGTTACCCCAGTCAGTCGCTGTGGAGGGCCTTGGCCGTGAGGGTGATGATCCTGATGGCGCATCACATGCTGGGCAGGGGGATAAGCATCCGCGAGATCCGCTACTGCAATATGTTCACTCACGTCCTTCCGCCCATCACGAACAGCAAGGGGGAATCGTCGATCCACGTTCTCGTGGTCGCCTATCGCAACTCGAAGACCATCAAAGACAACAAGCTCGGCCACCTGTACCTGACTCGACACATGGACTTCCGGCAGTGCGGCTTCGGAGCAGTGTTCATGTGGATACATTTCATTTTCGACCTTGTGCCGCTCCACTACAACAACGATAAGATCGTGCCCCCCTTGGATTTCAGCAACCCGGAAAACTGGTCAAAAAAGCACCTGTTCTTCGCCCTCTTCGACAGGGATAAGACCGAGTTGCCGTACGCGACTCATGCCAAATGGGTTACCTGGGCGATGAAAAGCGCGGAGTGGATCCTGTCGAAAGTCACACATATTTTTCGACGGTCTGCGGCACAGATCCTCGCCGACAAAAACTGTGAACTCGACAACATCGCGCAGCTGGGTCAATGGGACATGAACGAGATGCGCAGGTCATACGTCACAGGCATCCCGCGAGGGGCCATCCAGCTGCAAACGGGTTTCACGACGGAACCCGGTGACTATTACCTTGGAAGATCGAAGACCGAAATACCCGCGAAGGTCCTGAAGGCTATCGAGGAGCACATATTTCCAAAGGCGGAGCAGTGGCTCGACGAGGTATGGATGCGTCGAGCGCTTTGCGTGATCATCGAATGCAAGTTTTTGCATTCGATCTATCTCTCAATGTCACCACGTTTGTTCTTGTTCAGGCGATGGAATGGAACAACGAGCAGGACAAGGAGCATATGTTCTTCGCAGCGAAAAGTTTCTTGAAGGCCCTGCAAGTCGCCCGAATGCCCATCGCCGAGGATCTTGCGATGTACTACGTCCATTGTGACGACCACCCCTTCGACGGAGTGACTGTTTGCGACTGCGAGCGTCACCCTTATGTACAGATGTCCGGTTTGTGCAAGGACATGGATTTCCAAAAATGGGCGCTTGACGTGTACCTGCTCGACAAGTACGGCATCGAGATGCGGACCAACCCCACACTGTCGAGAGCCTCTGTAAGATGGCCCTTATAAATTTTAATCCGAACAGATTGCATCAGCCCACTTACCTACCGCTCGTGATCTTATGCGCAGGACGCATCCATTCAACTCAACACCAAGCACCTCATCACGCAACTTCGGGCAGAGGTAAACTTACACAAGGAGGAGGGTGGGAAAAAAGAAATCAAGATCAAGGGCCTCGAGCAGAAGGTCGAGTCATTGGAGCGGGAGAAGGCCGCGATGCAAGCGGAGTTGGAGGCGAAGGCAGAAGCACTCGCTCTACTGCAGAAAGCGTTCGACGCACTGAAGATTACCGCCGCGACAACCGCAGCTGCGAATGTAGGGGGGAGCGAGAGTGTGCCGCAGACGGCGACCGAAGAAACCACCCCGCCACCACAGCAGCCCCCTCAATCAACACCCACTCAACAGAGCAAGGGCAGCCAGCTCGACCAAACATTCTTCGACGCAGTGGTGTGGCCGTGGTGCACTTGCGAGACCGTGCGGCAGGCGTGGTCGTACTGGGACGGGCCCAGCCCGCTGAACGACGGATACAGTCTTCGACACGCTTACAGGAGGGGTTTCGCCGTCAAGTACAGCAAGTTCACTCCGACTCCTCCCACCGTTCCACCCGGTGCGGTGGACCAGCCAGCAGAAAAGCCACCGACCCCAAAAGCTGTCGAGTCGAGATTGCGGAAGATGGAGGTTGTCATGAGGGCCGTCGAGATGTTCAGGGTCGATGATAGCAGGGCGGCTACGTCGACGATCATTGATAAGCTTGACTCAATAGTCAAGAACCACTCGATCAACATGCTGGCTGAAGGGCTCGTTCTCAAAGAGGATTCGGGGAAGCAGCTCACGAAGAAGCGCAAAATCGAGACAGCAGATGACAACCGGAAGGACAAAGATCGCCTCAGGATCACGCGAGAGCTCATTCGCGTTGAGCTTCGAACCACGAAATGGGCCGAGAACGTGTTCAAAGACAAATGGAAAGAGTTCATGAAAACATTGGGCGACAGCCCAAGTTCGACAGGCAATCGTGACGAGGGGGGAAACTAGAGGAGGGTGTTCTTTCAGAGATTGCATGGCAGGTTCTCATTACTGACCGACCATCTCGCCTGTATGAACCTTCTGAGCATTATCGCAAACGGAAAGTCAAGATCCATGCAGAATGTACATTCTGTCGATTTCAACAAGCATTAATGTCGAGAATAGCAAACACCCCCACGCAAAGCGCCCGCCTAGACTACTCCCCTTGCCCGCCCGTTTCCGTCTCAGCTGCATCCTCGTCGCCCTGCTTCGCCTTGCTCTTTTCTTCTGGCATAGCCAGGCTGCCATAGCCCGCGTCCTCCAGCAAGCGGGCAGCAGCTCGACAGCAGCACCATTGCGTACAGACCTGCGCTGCCACGCGCAGCATCTGCAGCAGTATGGCGTCCGTCGAGCCGAGACCTTCGACAGCCGACGAATACAGGTGATCGGGCCACTGCTTCGCCGGGAACGTCTTGCCGACGTGCAAAAGTATGGACACGAGTGCGGACATGGCAGCCACACAAGCCTTCTTTGCAGTCTCCGGGGCGTAGATCGCCGCGTTTGCGGCAGCTAGGGCATCCTTCTTAATATCCTCCCTCGACAACTTCCTGCTGGCCGCCCACAAGCTCGCCACAGTTGTTGCGATGGCCATCATGTGAGGTGTCGCCGCCATGCCCTTCGGGACCGGGTAAATCAGATTCCCGTGCTTCAGGCCAAGGGTCGCGACCTTACCAATCGCCACGCACAGCGCGATTCCCCTCTCGGTTCCAGCTTTCACTTCCTTTTTTGCCGTCGCCAAGAGCGACAGGTAACTGCACATCGCAAGAAATGCGTGAGTCAAGAGGCCAGAATTCGACCGACAGCACATTCACCGCAAAACAGATGGTGTTCGACAATTCACCAAAACAGCAGGAACTCGACAGCAGAGTCTAGCAACATAACCACGACAGAACTTACTCGTCGAAACGACATTCCCCTTGTTCTTGCGCCACGCTCCAAACGCCGGTTGGCATTTCTGCGGCCGCATCGAGGCAGTTCTTCCAGTCCTCCTCATCCTGCGCCGTGTACCCTTCGTACTCCGTAAGGACAACGTCGGGGAAGTACACGCGCCAGCAGACGGCCGTACAGAACTTCTGGTCCTTCTCTGTTTCAAAAGTGCCAAGGAACCGCTTCCTCCCGCCGACGGTCTGCTCGGAAACCGGCTTCCCCTTCCGCAACCCAAAACCCGGTCCTTTGAAGGGACGTTTGCAGCCTCTCGTCTTGCCTTGGTCGTCCGGTCGAGGAGGTGGGGTGTGACCCGTGACCCTGGCCTTCTTCGCCTTTTCCTCTCGAGCAGCAACGACAATAGAGGTCTTCTCGACAGTCGCCTGACCAGGGACGCTGGCCAGCTCCACCACGTCAAGGATCTCTGTCGCGTGTGCAGCGCGCTTCGACGACTTCGTCGCAGCCGGCTTCTTCTTCGACGTTGAAGGGGAGCCCGGATCGCTAAGACTAACGTTGCCTAGGGACGGAGCAGCGGCGACAGGCGCAACTGGAGGGGTCGAGGAAGACGCCCAATTTCCCGCAAGCCCGACACCAAGGCCAGCACCACCGCCTTGCGCAGCTGATGCCGCTTTTGTCTTCGACAGCAACCCAGCTCTTGCTTCTCCCGCTCCTTTCCCCGCACCGCCGCCTGACGGGGTAGAGGCACCTCGCATTCCTAGAGCTCTGTTCCCGGTCGAGGCGACGTGCTCCTTCGGGGCACCACTTTTCTCCCCCGCGACCACTCCTTTCCCACCCGTTTTCCCCATGCCTTGCAGCATGTCCCGCATCGAAGCAAACGCATCAGGTGGATCGATCGGAGCCGCTACGGAGGTCTTCGGGCGGGGCGACTGGTCGAGTACGATGACTTCCTCGACGAGCTTGGCGACGGGATGACGGCCACGCGCCGGTGGGGATCCAACCGGGCTACCGACATGTCCTCCCACCGAAGAAGACGGAGGAACCGACCGCTCGTGACCACGAGGCTCAGCCCCGCTGCGAACCCCTCCCACACCCTCCTGACGCGACCTCGTCGACGGGCCCGCCGAGCGCTGAAAACCTCTCGCCATCGCTTCGGTGAGGACTTCCAACCTCCCTGCTTCGGCTTCATGGTAGCCTTCCCTCACAATGTCCTTCAGCTCCTTCATGGTCTCGGGTGGGAGGGTGGAGCAGAACATGTCCTCCATGATGGCTTTCTCGAAACCCTTCAGCACCGCAGCAACCAGCCGCTCCTCGACCTGCTTGAGCTGCTTCTCGACGGCGTCTTCGCTCGCTTTTGTGATGGCGGCTGCCACCCCCTCGATGATCTTCCCGCTCATCTCGTCGATCTTCGCCCGCGCCCCTTCCAACAGGTTCCTCTCCGCCGTGACACCCTTCACAGCCTCGGCGCACTGCGACAGTGTGCTCTTCGACGACTCCGAAATCGTATTCCACGCCGTCCGAAAATCCGCAGCAAGCCTGTTGAATACTCCGGCTTGCTCAGTGTGTTTCGCAAAGACATCGGCGACGAGCTGCTTCTGCGACGCCTCGACCTTCTCGACCCTCTGCAGTAGCTCGACGACCTGGCCTCCCGGTGCAACGTTCACCGTCGACTGGCTTGCCGTCGAAGGCCACCAGGTCGAAGGGCCCGCCTGTCCGCTGCCACTGGCCGTGCGGTGACTCCTTGTTACGGCGGCCTGTCGCTCATCTCCTCGACGATACTCCTCAGCAGCCTCCCAGTCCTCCTGCTCCTGCCCTCCCGACCCACCCACCCGCACAGCCGCAACCCTAAACGCCTGCTGCTGCACTCCTGCCCCACCCTCCTGCGCGCAACCGCCACGCCCTCCTCCTGCTGCCCTCCTGCCCCGCCCTCCTGCGCAGCCGCCTCGCCCACCACCTGCCGCTGCCCTCCGACCCCACCCTCCTGAGCAGCCGCTCCGCCCTCCTGCTCCTCGACAGCCTTAGTTTCCCCTGTCGCCTGCTGCTCGATAAGCTCTACTCGCTCGTCCACCCGCTCCCCGAGCGCCACTCCGTGCTCCCCCGTACGCTCCGTTCTATGTCCGGCGCCCTCGCCGTCGTCCTCGGCCGACTCATCGCTCGAGCTCGAGCCGGAGCTCGTTCCCGAGCTCGAGTCCTCGTCCTCGTTCGCATCGCCGCCCGGGCCGCTCGCCCCGTGCTGAGCCTGCCTCGATGTATCCTCCTCGATCTCCTCCTCCTCCTCGACGCTGTACTCAATCAGGACGCGTCCCGTCTTCTCGCCTCCTCCCTCGTGGTCGGCACCCCCTCCCACACCTGCTCCCTCCGCCGGCTGGTCGATCTTTCTCGAAAACAGCTTCACCATGAACAACGGAAGCACACCCGGGCCAGGGTTCGTTCTCCCTAGATGCACGAGTTCGCCCTTTCGAGGCTGTAGGATGAAGTCGTCCCATTTCGTCAGAATACGGCGCACCCCATGCACGACACGAGCTGCCGCGCCGTTTTCAAAGGGGCTCGACAAGGCCGTCGTCGCCTGCGACGGGTACAAAACATACGTAAGCGACAAAACACATGCTCGACGAAAACGCCGGTGGTCTAAGGAGAGCTTACCAGATGGTCGAACTCCTCGATCAACTCCAGACGAAGGTCCATCACGTTCAACACTTCTTCGTCGCCCTCGGTCAGAGCCTGGTGGGTCATCGCGTACTCGGCGCGAAGCTGCTTCTTCATCCACATGCGACGCAGCGGACAGAAGAGTAAGATTGTCGAGAACAGCAGATCGACAGCAGGGTGGCAAACCTGTCACTCACACGAAAACTTCTTGCGCCAGGGAAGATTGGTGGTTCATCTCGGGGAATTTGTCTTTCGAATCGAAGTGCATCATTCGAGTTCGACTGCCGCGGTGCCTCGGAGCCAGCAGATCGTCGGGACGCGATACCACAAACAGGCTCGAGTGGGAGAACGGAGGCACACTCAGTCTGCATGCAGAGCCAATGCACGTGAGAACGGGTTCAGGGCTAAAGACGGAGCACGCAAGGCGACGGGAGAGTAGGCGACGGTAGAGTGTCGAACTCACGGTGTCCGCAGCAGAACGAAAACCACTTGCTTGCCGAGGAGGCCGTCGAGGTGGTTGTTCGCAAAAGCGACCGGGGTGGGGCGTGCCATCTCTTCACGCGCACGCGTCGGAGTCACGATCGACACCTTGGGGAGCTGCTCGACGGACAGCAGCTCATGACAGAACAGGCTGCACGGAAAGCTAAGGCAACGTCAGCGATTGGTAAACCCAAGCATGGCAAACCGAAAATGTTCGACAGGACACGTACACGACGCCCGCGACCATCATGCTCTCGTCGAGCTCTCCTTTCGGCGCCTCTCTAATCGCATTCAGCTGGTCCTCGTACACCTCCACCTCGACCCCGCCGGCACTAAGGATGAGGCCGCGTCGAACCGTCGCCTCGTTCATGACGGGTACGGAGGCGGAGCTCGTAGCCATGTCAGGCCTAGCAGTGGAGAGGGCGGGCGTGCAGGGGAGTCGGGAACTAGCAGGGACTAGGAAGTAGGGAAGTAGAAATCGGAAACACCAACAAAATGAGACCGGACGAAGGGTATTACCTGTTTGCCATCCCTCCCACCGCGACGGACCAGGGGGGTTCAAGGGCGAGGAGGCAGGGCGCGTTCCGTTGACGCTGGAGGAGGAGGGAGGAGCTCTTCGCGGAGGCCGGCGGGGCCCTATTGGCGTCGACGTGAAACGTGGGGTGGGCCGCCTTGCGTGCAGCCGAAAGGCCCCTTCCAAGGTTCGGGAGGGGGCCTTCGACACGTCACCAAAATCGTGCGGGTTGAACGAAACGGGTTGGACGACAGCGGTGGAGCGCGGCGCAGATGGGCGTCGATGTCGTCCGGCCTGCGAAATTTCGCCGACTGGTTCCGTCGGCGATGCGTCGCTCGGCGAGGGATGGGCGGGTTACCGGACGGAACCCGTCCACGAACCGAGCGAGGGGTTGGGCTCGGTGGGGAGGGGGACCACTGCGCGGGCTGCTGGCGTCATCGGCAGCTGGCGCCAGCAGTTTTCGGGCGGGAGGGGGGGGGTCGGCTCCCGCCCCTCGCGTGCCCCGCTAGGCGACGGCGGGAAAACGGAAATCCCTCCGAGGAAAACCCGCAGGGGCGAAAGGGGGTCCTCGGAGGGATTCGGGCGAGGTCTTCCCGTGTTTAGGGTTGGGGCTCCCCTAATCGCATGCCATCCAGATGGGGTTTATTTTTTTCTGACCGTGGGAAGATTACGACCCATCAGCTTCTTCCAGGCGGACTGTTAGGGATCGCATTTGCGAACCTCGCTGGCTAAATTGGATTGCAGCTGAAGTTGTCCCGAAAATGTTTGGGGCGGGATGTGTCGAGGGGGAGGGGATGGCACTGGCGCAGCGGCAAGATCGCTGTCGTCGCTGCGCAGTGCATGTCATAGAGATTGACGCGGGCAGTGATTGCCGAGGCAAGGTTCTACTTCTGGAGGGGTTGATTGGGCCTCGATTCTAAGAACTGTATTCCATATAAGGAACTTTACAGCACCTGTCGCATGCACTTTCTTTTGAACTTCCATGGGTACTTCAAAACATTTGGTGGGGTCTGGAGGGCTAGAGGAGCATTCAGGGTATGCGATATTCCTTTTAGGACAATATCTGAAGTATCAGCGCGGCTTTTTCCCGCCTAATTTTTGGACTCTCAAATGTTTGTGCTGCTTTCGAGATCAGTTTCAGGTGCAGTTCGGTCTCCACATTTTAATCGAGTTTTTGCGCGATACAGTAGTCTCCAGTGTGATAACTCGGCTCAACACAGGCAGGCAGATAGAGCGTGCTGCTCACGACTCCGCTTGCTCCCCCCAACCCCCAACCCATAATCGCCTCGAGACTTGTACACTGAGGGCGGGTCCAGCGCATACGTTTTCCGTACATTACAGTCCAGTACGGTAATCTGTAATGCGTCACGGTTCAAAACGGTGCAATTTTAGAACCGCTGCACCGCCTGATATTGTTTCAAACCACGACGAATGAACTGTATAGTACCTGAAAACGTACGCGCTGGACACGCCCTCAATTCGCTTTCACACGTTTTCTCGACATTCCGTCTACTATAATTGACAGCGCTGCGCACACAACCACGCGACAGGCAGTCTGTCCACGTGCGGATGTCTCACCCGATTCCACCAAGTGCATCAATTTACATTTTCCACCATGTCTTCACGCGAAGAGCTGCGAAGACCCGACGACGCCCTACGGCGACTGATGGCACTGGCTCCGTCGCAGCAGAGAGCTGCGAAGTTTCCGCGCCGCGGCGTGGACAAATGCAGACGTATCGGCTCAAATGCCTCAGGCTTTAACCGAAACCAGCCTCTCGCGGCCGATTTCGTTGGCACGTCTTCGCGCGAGGCCAACGAAAGGAATGAAACTGGCGAAAGCCGTAGCGGGCTGTGGCGATGCGTGGTGTGCGAGAAGCACGTCGCACGGTCTCGCATGCTGTTCCACGTGAATGAGTGCCTGGACGCGACGAGTCAGCCGTCAAGCCGTTTGCAGTCGAACCGTTTGCCGTCATGTCCTCTGCCGTCAGGCCCTCGGCCTACGGTCCCGCTGCCGTCAAATTTTGCGGAAATACCAAGTGACGGCGAAAGAATGGGCAACCATGGCACTGGCGAACAGGCATCGCTAGGAATAGAGCATGCAACCGCAGCAGCGTGCGGGGTAAAACAGCCAAAACATTGGTCTGGTGCTGCTGGTAAATCAATTGATGGTACGGTTGGAGCGGTTGGTGCTGGTGCAGCTGGTATAGCTGATACTGTTGGTACCGTAGGTGCTTCAGCTACTACTGAGTTGTCTCTCCGTCTTATGCGGCGAGAAACGGACGCGGAGAGAGACGATGGTTTGGGATCGGATCCTGCTGGAGTCTTTTTCGTGACAGCAGCGAGTGATGAGGCCCATCGTGACATTAACAGGAGCACGACCGCAGGAGAGAACAGGGGCTCGGGAAAACCTGATCTCCCGCGAAGGATGGTCAAGGAAATGCCAGCCCACGAAGCAAATGAGGTTTTTCACAAGCTACTGTACTCTGAGTTGACGCGAGATACACTTCAACAGTCTCTGGTGCCGGAAATGGTCAGGGATACGGGCGTAATGCAGTCAGAAGAGGTGCCCGTGGTGTTGAGAGAGGAGAGCGCGTGGGTTGGGGATGGCGAGCGGATGCGAGAAAAAACAGCGGGGAATTCTTTACCAGGTCGGGAGGAGGCTGCTGTTACCACCGCTGCCTCTGCTGCTGCTTCTGTAGCGCTTGATGCTGGAGCTCAAACGGAACAAGAGGGGCGAGGCAATGCAAGTGACTGCGAGGAGGGTGACTGCGAGAAGGGTGACTGCGAGGGGGGTGACTGTGAGGAGAGTGACTGCGAGGGGGGTGAGAAGGAAATCAGCCATAATACTGCCGCTTCCTTGCATCACGAAGTCCGCGGTAAGAGGCGAAGATGGCGAGTGGAAGGAGTGGACGGTGAGAGCGGCACAGGGGAAGGCGGCACAGGGGAAGGCGGCACAGGGGAAGGCGGCACTGCAATCACGTACAGCCTTCATCAGGACCGCTTTGTAGCAGCACCGGGGCTAGCACCATCCACATCAGCACCATCCACATCAGCACCATCCACATCAGCACCATCCGCATCAGCACCATCCGCAACATCCCGTTACTCCTCCACAGCAACATCTCCCCCTGCAATTCAATACCCATTCTCCTCAGCGCAACACCCTCGCCCAACCCAGCAACCTCAGGCGCCACTACAACTCCTGCTGCAAAAAAGTCAACGACCACGCAGTTGCCCACACCTTCCCCTGTCTTCCCCCGCCCTCTCTCCTGCCCTTTCCCCCGCCCTTTCCCCCGCCCTTTCCCGTGCCCTTTCCCCTGCGCTTTCACCTGCCCTCTCCCCCACGCCTGCGCCTCCCCCCTCTCCTTCTGGCTCGCTCCCTGCAGCGTCTCTGGACTTCCTCTGCCCGGACAAGCTCCGCCAACCCCGTCTCTTCGCCTTCCTCCCCGCTCCTCCCATTCCTCCTCCCTTTCCTCTGTCCTTTCCTCCTCGTTCCTCCAAGCAAGGGGATCCCATCCCAGATGCAAGATGCGGACTTTCCCTACCAAGTGCCCAGCCTGCTGCTGCAGTGGTGCCTCCTGCTGCAACCCCTGCTGCAACCCCTGCTGCAACCCCTGCTGCAACCCCTGCTGCCACATCTGCTGCTACGGGGTGTGGTGGCTATGGGGAGGGGATTGCAGGGCGGGAGAAAGTCCGTGTGACTGTTCTGCAGCCAGGGTAAGTGGACCGAGGACGGAAACAGGAAGTGGGAACGCATGGTCGAAGGAGAATGGTTTCTGAGGCGCCGTCAAAACTGTCTCAACTCCTAGGAACGAAGAGTAACGGGTCCTTGATTGAGATACCGTTCTCTTCCTCCTTGCTTCCACTTCCCCTCTCCATGCCTCTCACACACACGAATCGGATTTTTCCCCGGTCTGTCTCTCTCTTCCCCTGCCACGTGTGTGCCACGTCAGCATGGTGCTGCTGCGGGGGCGGCTGTCAGTGCAGCAGCAGCAGCGGTTTGTGCAGGCAGCGCAGGAGACAAAAGACCTTTTCCGCAGACCAGTCACTGCAGGGGGAGGCAGATACCACCTGTATTCGGTAAGAGAGCGGGCGAGGCAGATACCACCTGTATTCGGTAAGGGAGCGGGCGAGGCAGATACCACCTGTATTCGGTAAGGGAGCGGGCGAGGCAGATACCACCTGTACTTGGTAAGGGGGGAGGAGGCAGTACCACCTGCCATATGTTTCTTTGTAATGTTTCCGTGCCCTGCATTGTGCATCCTCCAGCTCCCTGTTTCCCATTTGGCAGCATGTGTGATTTGACCACAGTTCAATACAGCACACTTTGATTTCAAAGCATGCACCATTTTTTCCCCCCTTATTCACACATCTGCTTCAGATCGAATCACAGACATGGTTGCTTCCCGTCCACTCTTGAGGCATCTCAATGTGTGTGTGGGTGTGTGTTTGTGTGCGTGCGTGTGTGCGTGCGTGCGTGCGTGCGTGCGTGCGTGCGTGCGTGCGTGCGTGCGTGCGTGCGTGCGTGCGTGCGTGCGTGCACGCCCGGCCCCACTCTGTGAATCTGTATATGTGTCTCCCTCCGGTCCTGTTGCCGTGCTCCTATGAACCCACACAGACCTGTTGGGGTGCGGCGTGGAGCAGCACACTCAACCGTTTTGCCACTGCAGCATGGGCCCCGCCCATCACCTCGCTCGGTGCCTCGCCCATCACCTCGCCCAAAGGCTCGTTCTCGAAGCACACTCACACAGCCCATTTCCCTTGGCCTCCCTATAAATCTGGAAGCAACTCAATGCGTGCGCCTGTCTGTGTGCCTCTGTGTCTGCTTGTGCGTCTTCCTCCCACTCCTGTTGGGGTTCTCCCTTCCCTTTTATCTCAGACCTGTTGGGGTGCCGCGTGGAGCAGCACGCTCAACCGCTACGCCGCTGCTGCATGGGCCCCGCCCATCCCCCCTGACCTTGCTCACCTCGCGGGGAGCCTCGCTCTCGAAGCACACTCACACAGCCCAGTGTTCTGGGATGGTGGGGGAGGAGGAGGGGGAAGAGGAGTGGGGGGAGGAGAGGAGGGAGGAGTGGAAAGAGGGAGAGGAGGAGGAGGAGGAGGAGGAGGAGGAGGAGGAGGAGGAGGAGGAGGAGGAGGAGGAGGAGGAGGAGGAGGAGGAGGAGGAGGAGGAGGAAGAGGAGGAGGAGGAGGAGGAGGAGGAGGAGGAGGAGGAGGAGGAGGAGGAGGAGGAGGAGGAGGAGGAGGAGGAGGAGGAGGAGGAGGAGGAAGGGGAGGTGGAGGAAGAGGAGGAGGAGGGGGAGGTGGAGGAAGAGGAGGAGGGGTTGGTCTAGGAGAAGGAAAGGAAGCAGCGGCTTATCTCGATGCCTTTGTGCCGGACGTTTGCCTTGTGAACTTCTACCCAGTAAGCCCATGTGCTTCTAGTTTATGTTCTGAAACGTGTGCATTTGTTCTCCTCATGCTCCGTGCGTGTGCGTTCACATTGGAGATGGCACAGCAGCAGCAGCAGCAGCAGCAGCAACAATCCTGTTGTGAAATTGCATGTGTGCCCTACATGCCAGATATATATCACTCTTGTTCAAGAAACCTTGCATATGTGCTGTTTGTCTCGCTACAGGCACGCGCAGAGGAATTAGGGCGGATAGGGCTGGGAGGGCACCAGGATCGAGACGACTCATACAACATGCCTGTGGTAGGCGGCAGCCAGGGAGGGTGTCTAAATCTAGATGATGAATGCACACCTGTTTTGCCGGTAACATGAATGTTCAGAGTCGCGTCCATTTGCCAATTTGCTCCTGTTCTATGGGAGGGGAGAGAGGGGGCCCGGTCCGTTCAGCTGTGCCCATAAGTTTGCATTCTGTACAGTGGGCCTGGTTCCTGGATTCCAGGTGAGCGTGAGTGTGGGCTACACAATGAAGTTCTTCTTCCGGCCACTCCCCCCTTTGCACCTTTTGAGACACACCTAAAGTTATCTGTTGGCATGTGTTTGCACTATGTATGGTGGGCTGGGCATGTTTCCTGGATTCCAGGTGAGCGTGAGTGTGGGCGACACCATGCAGTTCTTCTTTCGGCCACTCCCTCCTCTGCACCGCCGTCGGTCCGGCATTGCAGTGCAGATTGATGACCCGGTGGCTGCTGCGCGCTCTGCGCTCGGCGATGCTGCGCATAACAGGTGCGATCTGCAGGCGTACGTATGCAAGTATGCAACCATGCATTCGTGTGTGCACACGTTCTCGTTTTGGCTGGTACGGGTATGTTCCCACCACTCCAGCCAATGCTTTTTGGGCTGGCATGTTCCCACAGTTTGTGACTCTACCCACGTACTTTCATTCCCTGGACAGGGAGCGAATTGTGTCTCTATCCAGTGGAGACGTGCTGGTGTTTGGAGCTGCTTCGCGCCTTGTGTATCACGGAACCAGAGATCTCGTCCCAGGAACCAGGCCACCAAACCTTGTCATGACTCCAGGCCGGCTCAACTTCACCTTTAGGGTGCAGGACAAGGGAGAGGTTGGTGGGACGGGCCAGCGTAGTAAGGGATAGGGGTAGACTTGTGTGAATCTTGAGAGGAAAAAATGGTGTTCTGGATAACGTGGTGCTTGGTCGCTTCAAGGCGCATGGTGATTTGACTGGTGCATGATACCGTACAAGTAATTGTGGAGCCATTGGCGCCTACAAGTGGCAACAAAACGGCAGGCACCAACTCTGCTGTTACCTTATACATGGTAAGTTCGGAATGAAAAGCAGAGAGCACCAAATTTCATCCCAAGAGCAGAGATAATGAAAAGTTGCTAGAGAACTGCGATTTAATAATAGGAGCACAAACCAAGCATGTCATGTTATACGCATCCAGACAAAATGCACAAGTGGAGGAAGACAAGGGGAAAAAACGAATCCTAGTCAGAATGCCATCTCACATAGGCTATACAATCGTCCAGTCAACATTTAAGCCTGCGAGGCTCACTTCTTAGCAGCTGTCTTGGCCTTCTTGGCAGGTGGCTTCCTAGGAGAAGCCCGAGCAGCTGTCTTGACCTTCTTTGGCGATGGAGCCTTTGCCTTGGGTGTCACCTTCTTAACCGCTGGCTTCTTGTCCGTCACCTTCCTAACCTTCGGGGCTGCGCGCAAAGGCTTCTTCGCGGGGGACTTAGCAGGCTTCGCAACCTTCTTCGGAGTCGATGGCTTCGCGGACTTAGGCTTCACAGCCTTCGGAACAGCTTTGGGTCGTGGCTTCGACGCAGCTTTAGGCTTCGCCACCTTCTTCACTGTCGTGGGGGTCTTCTTCGCTGGAGCACGAACAGGCTTCGCTTGCTTCAATTCACCTCCAAGCTTGAAACTAGCCTTCACCTTCACAAGTTTGCCAGCCTTGGTCAAGTTCTTCAGTTGAATGGCCAAGGTCTTCTTCCAGTTGGCAGGAAGGTCTGGGTGCTTTTGAGCGATATACTTGGCAATGGCAGGCACACTTGAACCAGTCCTTTCCTTCAAGGCCACAATGGCTTCCTTCACCATCTGCACCATCACAACAACGAGATAGTGTTAAGCGAGGAACTTTCGAATTTAATGTCTCCATGACTTCAAATGCGTACCTCAATGTACTTCGGATGATTAGCCCTGGCAGCTCTTGGCTTGGCACCGGCAGGCTTCGGAGACTTCGACTTCACAGCTTTTGGCTTAGCAACTTTGGAAGCAGGAACTTTAGCCTTGACTGCAGGAGAAGAAGCCGCCTTCGGCTTGTCTTCTCCTGCCTTGCTAGCAACAGTCTCCGCCATTGAAGATGTAAAAGTGTGTCCAAAAGTCAGTAAGAAGCAACTATGTTGACAGAAGTTGGTAGAGTAGTACTTGACACAAACTTGAAAGCAAGTTCAGTCGCCGAGGCGCAAAGCTCTAAAAATATAGAAGTAGATAACCTACGCGAAGAGCATATATAATATCAAGTCTAAGCGCGGAAATTCAGCTCACAACTGAGCCTAAGGTTCTTGGGAGCTCCCCTTATGTGCAATGAAACCCCAGTTTTCCTACCACCAGCAGGCACAACGATGCACGCAAGCTGAAGGGGTGTCTCCTCCATCAGCTCAGGTACCCAACCCAAGGAGCGTGGTGGGAGAGAAACGGATGAGCCCAGTAAGGTGCGAAATTCCAGTGCGCAGAACAGAAGCTCGTCTCCATTGGCTCTTGCCAACATTCGAGGATCGAAGAGCCAACGTCCCTTTCCCGTCGTGGAAGAGGACATGCGCATCCCGCATATCAAGGTGAGACAACCGACGACCAGGATTTTCCCGTAGCTTCGCTGACACACACTTCGTTAAGCAACCAGCACAACCTTCGCTCGCTTGAAATTGATCGATTCTTATTGGACGAATGCGATTCATGATTGTCACAATTTACGGAACAAACTACCACTTAGAAACTACAGAGAACACTGCGGCAATATAGTGAATTTCTTACAATCCACTTCTGAATATTGACCTTGAAATCCTTCAAATGGTACAATAAAGCTTGGTAGAACCCCATATATTCACTAGTTTTTAATCAAGCGTATACTATTGTCACTTTACAAAAACCTGCTTACAATGGAATCTATATATACATGTTCACAAACATAGTTATGCATCCGCTACAGTGTCTCATATGTAATTAAAAAAGGGTTGATTTATGTTTAAAAAAGGCTATAACTTCAGGCTTCTTTTTGTGGAGGCTGATCTTTCAGTCTTTTTTCACCTTTTCACTTATTTTTTAGCATTTTTCTAGACTATACACTTATTCATCGGCCTTAGATATAAGGGGAACACTGAATTTTGTACTACTGCTGTAGCCCGCCCCTTAGCCCGCTCCTTATCCCGCCCCATAGTTGTAAGGATTTACAAATACTTACTGAGGCACTCGTTATCGAGGCCATCCCGAGGGTCACGCAACGAACCTGTCCTTCCTATTTCGTCGCACCGAACCACTCCCGAGTCGCCTCCGCACCAATCGCAACCATCACCGAGCCATCCTTTCCCGAACCTCCCCGCCTTGCTAGGACTTCCCCTATTTAGGCCTCGTCACTTCCATTGTATCGTGATTCAGTAATTCAGTAATCAGTCATTCTCGTTATTCGTTTTACTGCGCACCCTGCAAGTTCATTCATAACAATAGTTCGCATTGTAACCCACCCCGTGGCCCGTCCCATATACCGCACCTTAGCCCACCCCGTAGCCCGCCACGTAGCCCGCCCCATAGTCTGCACCGTAGCCCTCGCTCCCCTTAGCATGCACACCCTCACGAGCTGGCGTGCTTGCCGATCCTGGGCGTAATCGAGTGAAGGTACAATATTGTATAGCCTATAGTGACACTAATTTATCGGTAACATTGATTTTATAGCTCTCTTTATTTCAAACCAAGGCGGATCAATCAGCCAACCTTAAAATAAATTTGAGCCCTCTAATCCACCAATAACACCCCTTCTCCCGCTTGGTGCTCATCAGCCTTTTCACCAACCTGCTCACTCCTGTCATGGCGTCCGATATTGTATTATGGCTCGATGCAGAGTAGCTGGCAAGTGATTTTGACGCATGGTTGTTCGGCGCCACGCTCCACCTACAAAGCCAGCACCATAATACTTCACCCTGTACACGTACACGTTAGGTAAGCTCCCCCCCCCCCCCCCCCCCCCCCCCTCCCCCCCCCTCCCCCTTCCCGTTCTACTTCTCATACTGCTAAGCCCACGTCGGAAGAGAGAGAGGCTCAAAACGTGGCCCAGCCTGTGTAGTCGATTTGAGAGTCGTATGATGCTTCTGCTCTTAGCCGCCTCCTTTCGCCGGCCGAGCGAGTGCACTTGCTCCAGGTCGTGACGGTGAAGGATTCCCTAGATGCTATTGTCGCTCGTGACCCCACCCCCTCCTATGTTACTCTGAGATGCCTCCTGCTTTTTCCGTGCACTCGCTAGCTTCCGTGCTGCTTGCATTACTGGCCACCTCGCTTTGCACGTTACCCTCCATGAATCTCACCTGCACTTCCTAGCAAACCGCCTCCCTGACCACACCGTGCCTGTCCGCGATGACCTCCTCGACGTGCACCCTATAATCCTCACTATCGATCTCTTTGAGACTTGTCTCGTTGAGATCGAGACCCAGTTTTACACGATCGCCTCCAACACTTCAGCGATAGTCCCCCATATATCTGAAGGGTGAGCTCCGCCCCAGCTCCCTACCCCAACTGCTTATACTGGTGTTGTTGAGCCTACTGCTATAGGAAGTCGCAGCTGTCTCTGCCTTCTCTCAAGGGCGAAAATGGTGCGGGGGTGGTCATGGTCGTGGAGGAGGTGGAGGTGCTGGTACGTCAAGGGGTACTGACACAAGGAGTGTCGTTTTTGGGGGTACTGTCATAAGAGGTGCTAGTCCTGTGGGGCCGAAGCAGCAGCAGCAAATCGAGTAGTAGGTCTCCTATGTGTAGTGGGGCCTGCTGGCCTAGAGAGCGGTTGCCACGGGTGGGTCTGATAGTTGAGCGTCGTGTGGCCCATTCACCGGGCCCAGCTAGTACTAGATTCAGTATGTTCCACATGGCTGCTCCATCTTCGGACATATTGATCACTCCACGATGCGTTGTTTCTGCCACCTTGACAACCTCTTCCATGCCCTACGGCGCCCCCCTCGGACTGGCCTACGCTATTGCATAGTGGTTTGTCCGTGTTTGAGACAAGTCTCAAATAGGATCTGCTCTGTTTGCCATATCGGCCGATTACACTAGTATTGTCGGATCCTATTGTTTGTGTGTGCCTAGACAAGCCTCTCTTGCTACGTCTCGTGTCGGATCCTTTGCTAATTCCTGCCCCGGTGCGCCCACTACTGACGCGTCACGCTCCTTCACTCTGGACTCCTGCACGTCCCATTGCTTCTTCCGCGACCGCACCGCCTTCGTCGTGTCGCAGTTTCATTGGCCGACCTCTCCACTGGACTTATAGGCGCACGTTGTGCAGTCTGTCAGAATCCCAGCCACTAGACTACTGGAATAAAAGGGCTTGTTTGTATAGCGGGTCTGTACGCCCATAACTTCCCAAGCAAACGCGCATGTAATCCCCCTAGGATCGATCGGGGATCTCATTGTGCATGCCTATTGAAACAATCCCCGCGCCTGATGTCTGCACTTTGTCTTCTTAATAATTATTGCCTCTCAAAAGACCGACCATCTGCTCCTCCCGCGCCGTCGCTCCCATTATACATTCATACGTTTTCTTCTGGGTTTCTTCTCATACTCGTCTTCCTCCTCATTCACACCTTTGTCTTCCTCTGTCTCATGATCCGTTTCCAAGATCTCACATTGCGTCACTAAATGGTTGCTAAGGAACTCTGTTGGCTGGCATTCGTGCTTAATGGTTTAGGTTTGTAGCCTAGCTCTGTTGGAAGTGGACACTGGAATGGTCGGAAGTGGCCTCCACAAGGGCTATACGTGTCGTCTTTGTGTCATCCAATGAGACATGCCATTTTACAAGAGGTGGTTAGCGACTTAGAGTTATTCTTGCATGGAGGAGTGAGGTTTGATTTTTGTTCTTGGTATACTTCCTGTGCCCT